ACTAGTCAAAGCTCAGAAGAAGATGGAGGGACCCTAATACAAAGGTGCGTGCACCATTAGTGGTGCATGGAGGAACCATTGGTTCCCAGTCAAAAGGTGGGCGACAAAGAGCAGAAAATGGAGAAAAACTCCACAGGCTGAGAACAGTTGAAGAAAAGCAGTGAGTTTTACAAGTCAAATGTACTAATGGGTGAAAACAACCTGATCTAACCTGTTCTGAGTCGACAGTATGTAAGTGGATGCAGTGCTGCACCCTGTGACGCTCTAGTAAAAACTAATTCTACATGGCACAGCCTGCGCACAGTCTTATGGCCGACGTCACTTTAGGCATGCGGTCCCTGTAGAGAACACAGCTTTGATGTAAAGCTGGTGGGGGCGCCACTAATGTAGCATCACATCCACTGTCAGTAAACCAAGGAGCTGAAAAAAAGAAAACCTGACGATGAAATGAAAGAAAGGGGGACGAGGAAAAAGGAACGGCTGTTTAAAGAAAAGTGAAAAGGGTCTTTCCAGTTTTTCTCTTTTAAATCAATCTCCTATTTCCTTGCACCACTTTTAATTTGCAATAAGAAACCACACTTTTTATTTATAAACTGCACATTTTAAGGAGCTTTAAACAGGACCATATGGGAGCTAAATACTTAATAACATTTTATATAGTCTAGTTATAAATATGACTAAGGGTTATGTCCATTTAAAAAAAGGTGTAAATCTAGTTCAGGTAAGGTTTAGAACACAATAGTCTACTTTAATCATGTTTATCATAATTTACCAACAACAAAATAGTGGCTAGAAAAAAACGCTGAGTGGCTAGTATCTTTGGAAAACCACTAGTCCAAGTGACTGGTGTGCAAAAAAGAAGCACACCTACAATTCCAGAGAAAGGTGCCTCAAGACGGGTCACATCTAAATAGATACCTCAACTTCCGATTTCTATTTGTGGAAAAAAAATTTAAAACAATAATTTTGTTTTTTTTCCATTTCACAAATGGGCACCACAGAGACTTGCCACTTAATACATTACGGTGGTTGTGGTTGTGATGCAAAAAAGGTGAAAAAGTGCAAGTGGGGGAAAAACTTTCATAGAACTAAATGAGAGGTGTACTTTTTATTTATCTAATCAAAAAGCCATCACAGCAAAGGTGTTCAGTTTTTTAAATGAAAGCAGTGAGGCAGACGGCTAAAGCGACAAAGGCAGCCCTGAGGACGCAGCTCTGATGAGTCCAGTCGCTTCAAACTGTCATTAAAAAGGCCTCTTTCTCTCTCTCTCTTTCTCCCGTGCGCTGGATTAGCTGTCATGACCCGGATGATGCATGGGGAGCAATAACCTGTGGCTTAATTCATCAGGAAATCACTGTTTGTGATGGATCACCTCTCAGTGCTGCAAGATGTGACAACAAAATTAGGCGGGCTGTCGTTTTAACTGATGCATGTATCACCCAAATGAATTCAATGCATTTCTCTTTAAGCAACGATGTCTGATAGTGATAAATAAACCCAAAGCATGTGCTCATATACACAAGCACTGTTCCCTTTCACACTATGCTTACCCACTGCGCTTTTATTGCAGCGTAGCATTTACTCAGTGGTGCAGTTTTAATGCGCTAATCCATCTGAAGCCTTTAATAACCCTCCCAGGTATAACAACATGCCTATTACAGGAATCCTGCAGCTGAAGGAGTATCATTCTCAGAATGCTAAATGTTCTGCATGATGCGCCTGAACAAAGAGACTTGTGGGGGGAAAGCCAAACACTCCAGGGCGTAGAGATCATCCAGAAAACTGTCATGTTTAATTAATAAAACTTTAAATATTGAAGCATACCCTGAGCCCCCTGGTTTGAATCTGAAACTGCTGGAGAGTCAGGCGTGTTGGATTGTGGGTATTTATTGGACATAAAAGAATCAAGTCGGGAAGAAACGGACCCAGACCTACTGAATGTCACCTTGGTTCATCAGGGGTTGAAATCATTAGCTTCCCAGCTCAGGAAATAAAAGCTTTTTGGAGAAACTAGGACAGAACATTTAATGTTCTCCTTTGTTTGCGTTTGTTTGTTGGGCACGCCTGTGTCTTTGTCCAATTATTTCCAAACTTTTACTTGGACATCTATTAGAAATAGGATTGATATCAGCGTTTGCCAATGTTTTCATTTTTAAAGTAATGGTCTGATAAAATTGAGCAAATATTGACAAGTGGCATTTATTTCCACTTCGTTTCTGATTTCATGATTTCAATGATTGTGATGCAGCAAAGCATTGTGGGTGTTTAACTGAAGTAGAAAAGCAATGTCGGCACTGTTTTTTTGTCTTTTATGATTTCCAAAGGGTTAGGAAAATAATTAATATCTGTAAATATACCGTAAATATCGGCCATTACGGTGATATATTATTATCCAATATCCTTTGAGATTTTCATATCGGTGCATCCCTAATAGCTACCCACATATTGTACACTATTGTGATCACTTATGCTGCATTGCTTCATTGGAACAATGGAATTAGGCCAGAACTCCTCTATTTTAAATTCCAGTTTTAAGCAAATTGCCAACTTTCGACTTTTACCTGCACTCTTTAAATTGGTGTTGCACCAATACTGATACCAGTATCGGACGGGGCCCCAATCCAGCACTAAAATGGTGGTATCGGTATCGGAGAGTACCAACAAATAGGGCACTGATACCATTTTGAGAGCTAAAAGTTCATTAAACTATTGTCACCCATTCCAGGTAGGCAATAAAAAGTTCTACTGGATTCACTTTGTATTAGTCTTTTTCCTGCTTCACAAAGGTAGGCAGCAGCTTGACAAAGCCATGATGGCAATTATTTTACATCCAAGTAGTATGCAGTTCTTTATATATATGCACACATCAATTTTAAACAGATGGTATCGGTATCGGCCGATACTGCACAGCCAGGTATCGAGTATCGGTATTGGGGCAAAAAATGGCATCGGCGCAATACTAGTAAATATTAGTCATTACGGTGATTTATTAATATCTGATATCCTTTAAGATTCTCATATCTGTGCATCCCTCTTAGTTACCCACATATTGTACACTATTATGATCACTTTTGCTCCTCTGCTTTATAGGAACACTTGAATCAGAATAAAGTGTTGGATAATACCAGTTTGAAGCAAATTTCCAGATTTCCAGCTTTTAGCTGCATATTTTAAATCACAGGACCTCTTCTTTTATAAAAGCCACACCAAGTAATCTGGATTCAAGCTAAATGTGTGGTAGAAAAATAAACCCACACTGTCATCCTCAAAACAGTATACCATTATGAGACACAGTAGTGGCAGCATCATGCTGTGGGGATGCTTTGTTTTCAGCAGCGACAGGCTAGCTGTGGCTTGTGAAAGATCAGGCTGTGCTTTAATCAGAGCAGTAGCCTGGAGGCGCACAGTATCTCTGGAGGAGCTGCAGGGATTCAGAGCACAGGTGTGACAGCTACACAGCAACGCTGCATGAAAAGACTTAAGTGTAGCCAATATTTGGAGATGTTAACATTTTTTCCCCAATATGTGGTTATGTTTGCCAGTTCATTTGTGCATTTCGCAGCCGTGCCTTAAGATTACATGAAGTGCATGCATTCCCTCTCCTTCCATTTTCTATTGCTATCCATTCTTAATATTTTGTTGGATTCGTTGATAAACATGTTTTTGTTTACACTGAGACCTGTGTAATGTTTATTGCCATAATGTCCTATTTATCACGCAAACTGAGGGAAAAAAAGCAACATGAGCTCAAGGTACGTATTAGCCTGAAAATATTGGCAGCACTTATCAGGGATCGGTTAGATCAAAATAAAAAAATCAGTGTGTTATCTGCCTCAATAAACCTGTATCTGTCTATTTCTATTTTCCAATATGACACATGGTAGAGGCAGCACCACTTGGGACCGGGGAGTTAGCAAGAGTTGATGGGAAGGTGGATAGGGGGAAGGTTTTGGTTTGCCAAACAGATTAATTAAAAAAACAAAAGCTGCAGACCTTTACATGTATTTGTTAGCTCAGACATCTATCATTTTGACTATGTGGACAAAGAAGAGAGTGAGAGGAGAGTCTGGACAGCCAGGTAAACATAAACTCTATCTCCTACTACAACATGCTCTGCCTGGGTTCACTTTATATTATTGCACAGGCCAAACCAAGCAGCTCCTCTATGCTCCAAACTTTAGCAGACACAATTAATAGAGGCCTTAAAGGCAAGGCAGCGTGGTAAATTGCACCATCATCCTGTTTGCCCTTGATTGGGATAAACTACAATGGATGTATTCATTTATCCAGCCAACAGCTGACACACACACAGAGACAGGAAGCAGTGAAACAGTGAGTCTGCAGAGGCACCGCCAGTCCTCCAGTCTGCCATGCCTCATGTCAGCCTCTCGCCCACAGCCCGTCTGCAGAGCCAGCCCTGTTAACTCCGACAGCTGTTAGCACAATAACTGAGATAAATCGATAGCCCAACAGCATGCGCCGCCTCAAACAGATGGAGGTGCACACACTGATGTGAGGCTCTAGGTGTGCGCAGCACACAGATATGGACCTGAGAGCTCAGTAATGATCCTAAGACCAATACAGCTACAAGGCTCGGATAATTTGCACTGTCATCCCTATCATCACAGGGATCCAATGGGTTTTAAAGAGATGATAAAGGACAAAATTGGCATTAAATGTTAAATGGATATATACACAATAATCTGTTGTTTTGTTTGTCAGCTTGAGGGTGATCTGCAATCAAATAAATGCCATAAATTCATGATAACCTAAAATCTGGTAAATGTTTCCAGGTTCAATACTGAAGTAGGAGTTCTAGATCAGACATTTACTGCTAAGAATTCAATATTATTTACAGTGGGGTAGTATAGTGGTTAAAATGTATTGAAAAGATGTTTAATTAATTTAAACAATGCAGAAAAAACTGAGCTATGGCTCTACAGTTTGATGAAAACAAGTTGAGCCACATAGAATGAATCGGCTCTAATCAACTGACTAACCTTTTCTTGATGAGGTCCAGAGCAGATCCGATGAGCCCGTCTTTCATCTTGTATATTTTGGCTCCATACTTCGACAGGTCCGTCCCCTCCAGAAGTAGCGCCGGGCAGCAGCTGGAGGGACGATCCCAGTTCTCTCTGCTAGCAGTCAAAGGAACCGACCCAACTGTTTCCAGACTACTCCTCCTGCGCCTGGTGCTCCCATCATCTCCTCCTACAACAACGGCTTTGTCCTGGGCTGTGCAGGCCTGAGGCTGCAGGGGTGCACGTGGAGACGGGCCTGTACGGATGGGGGAGTTCCTGCAAGAACTGCAGGATGAAGAGGAGGCTACGTTGCCATTGCTGTTCACTATGATTAAAGCAGGTTTGTCTGTGCAGGTGAAGGTTTGAAGGTCTTCATCAGTTCTCGCTGCATCTTGCTCCCTCTTAACCTCTTCAGAATCACACTCCTGAGTTCCACTAGGTCCTTTTAGAGGCTCAGTTCCATTGGAGAGTTGTCCATTATGTTTAACACCATCCGCTGCAGGCCCCTCGCTCTGTTTTCCCTCCCTCTGCCTCATCATCTTAAACTCCTCAAATGTTGGGATGTACAGACGTCCCACAGGAGGTCTACAGCGCTCAAAGGCAGCACCTTTCCCACTCGGATTCCTTTTAATGTTTTCTGTTGTGTAGGATGTGGGGACCACTTTTGGGACAGGTGGAGAACTTTGGACGGTCAAGTTGGGGCTGCTATTCTGCCGCCTGAGCTGCAAGCGCCTCAAAACCTCCTGCTTGATCTCCTCTGGAGATGTGCGCATTGTAAATGTCGGCCTAGAGCAACCACCTGTTGAGGTCCCCTGTTGCAAACCTCCACGCTCAATGGCGGAGGTACTTGGGCTCAACTGGGGCCGCAGTGGGAGGGGCCTTAAAGGCTCAGCAGAAGATCTTGCGCTCTGCAGACGGAGTTTGTCCCTTAGTTCCTTTCTTGTGTCCCAGTCATCCACACCGCCTGGAATAAGCAGCTGAGGGAAGAGTGGCAGATCCATTCTGGGTAGCCCATGTCGAGGAAAAAACGCCAAACTCTCTGGGTTTGGTATCAGCCCGTGGGCACCTAGTAAAGATCCATCTGAAGGTCCATCATACCAGTTGCTAGAAGTGGTGTACCGTAAAATAAACTCGCTGTCTAAGCTCCTGCATGGTGTAGCACTGAGTGCACACAGACCAGAATCTGCTATTGTGTTCCAGTTTAGGTTCTCCATACTCCTGTAAGGCCTGCTACCATTGCTTCCAGTGTCCATGCAGGAGCTCTGGGCCATCCCCTGCCCTGGCTCCACCCCCTGAGTGCCCTGCTGGCCAGAACAACACCTTAAACCAAAGTTGGTGAGTAAAGTACTGCTGTTGCACCTGGCAATAAGTGGGTATGATGGTCCAAGAAAGGGTCTGTGACGGGGGAGAGAGTTCAAGGGGTCCGGGGACAGAGGGAGGTTGGCGATGCAGGGCTCCATGTCGATCCTGATGTGCAGGGGGGAACTGCAGCCAGCAGGAGAGCTGGCGGACAGAACAACAGAGGATGTGGAGGGGTAGTCACATGGTGAGGTGAGCTTCACGTCTGGCATGGCTGTGGGCAGAGTGACAGCCCCTCAGACATACGGTTGGCAGGTGTGAGGTCTGGCCACCTGTAGGGACAAAAGAACAAAATGATAATAATGCTTCTCTAATACTGTCATTAATATGATCCTTCAACTTTTCACAGTTAATCATTGTATCACCACCAACTTCAACAAATATTACGTGACTAAAAGATAGTAAAGAGATATGTCCTATATGCAAAGTCATTGCCATATATTTAAACCTGAAAAATTATGCACCACTGTGAGATGATACAGGTATTTCTATTTCATTTAATTATTCTTAAAGATAAAGTCTGGACACTAACTGGGTCATTCTGACATAAATATATATAAGCAATGTAAGTGTATCTCTAGTTTTGGGCTAGACATGGTTTATGTATTGCTATAAGAATCTTATTCAATAAAGGTGATCTCAATAAAGGTGTCCTTCTATGATATTAATATCGGATATAGTTGCCAAAATATATAAAACTAATATCTGACTTCATCTGCCAGCATCTAAAATCCTTGATATTTTCACACTGATAGAAACATTTGCTTCTGTTTTTGCTTCAGTTTTTATTATTAGTAGTACCTTATTGTTTTAAATGTATATGGGTCCGTTGTTTTCATACATTTGTTGTTGACTTATGTTTCCTGTTTTAGTAATATGGCTTGATCAAGCCTTTTCTAATATATTACAGCATAAAGTAAGTGACATAAATCGGTGTGATTCATGCTATGCTATGAGTATGTGAATGATGATGCTTACTACATATAAGAAGCACTTGGCAGCAGTTCAGCAGTAGACTAATCTCCAACAAGGTAAGTTTTTGCAACAAAATCAGTCACCATGGATGAACCTGTCCTCTGACATTATGAGATATTTGAACTGATTTATTTAGTGTTCAGTGAGCTGATCTTTGCCCTGGAAAAGGTTTGGTTTGCATTGGGAAACATTACCAATGTTTTTAAAACTGGCTGTGCCCAAGTAAAAAGTAGAGTTGGAATCTGTTTTGTTTTACTCAAGATGTAAAATGCAAAATAAACCAGACTTTTTATGGACAAACAGAAAAACCTAAATAGAGCAAGAGAAAGCCGTATCCTGAGTGAGAAAGAGGGGGAGATCTTTACAAGATGACCTTACATAGAAAAACTTGTAAAGCGCTGCCTGCAGCTTCAGTAAGAGTTTATAAAAAGTTAGATGTTGTAGAATTGACTGGTAAACTTTAGTTTGTATATTCAGAGCTAGTAATGAGCTGTTTTGCTAATTTATTATAATGTTTTGCGAACATACTTTTTCAGGCTAATGTGTTTGTCTTCATGAACATACCAAAGTTACTAAAGCAGCCAAGAAATAAGAAAAAAAAAAACCTGGTTAAATGTACAATTAATCTGTTGTGTGTTTAGCTCTAAATAAAAATAGAAAAATGGCTATTTTCTTAACAATTATTTCTGAAATTTAATAATTTTCACAGGTCTGCACATTATTCTGCCGGGTGCGTTCCCTGACAGTCTTCTTGAGACTTTCATATTATTTATATTCATATCAGAATCATATTACAAAATTGTGTTACTCTCTGGATTTTGGGTTTAGGATGACATGCATATGGAGCACAATTGTCTATGCATCACAAATACTATTGTGAATATTGTCTTGTGGACAGGTACATTTTATTTGCTTGCTTTAATTAGTATGTGCATATGTGGATCTTGTGATGTGGAAGTGAGGATCTTATCCGGTGCATGTGTGGATCTTGTGATGTGGAAGTGTGGATCTTTTCCTGTGCATGTTTTGATCTTATAATGTGCATGAGTAGATATTTTTCTGTGCATGAGAGGATCTTTCTCGGTACATGTGTGGATCTTATTCTGTGCATGTGTGGATCTTATCCTGTGCATGTGTGGATCTTATCCTGTGCATGTGTGGATCTTATCCTGTGCATGTTTGGATCTTATCCTGTGTATGTGTGGATCTTTTCCTGTGAATGTTTGGATCTTATAATGTGCATGAGTAGATATTTTTCTGTGCATGAGAGGATCTTTCTCGGTACATGTGTGGATCTTATTCTGTGCATGTGTGGACCTTATCCTGTGCATATATAGATCTTACCCTGTGCATATCTAGATCTTACCCTGTGCATATTTGGATCTTACCCTGTGCATGTGTTGATCTTATCCTGTGCATATCTGGATCGTATCCTGTGTATGTGTGGGTCTTATCTTGTGCATGTGTGGTGTTGTCCATGAGTCTGTTAATACTCCTCTAGCTCAAATAATGCAGGGTTAGACCAGAATGTCTCCTCCATGAGCTATGGATCTCTTTAGTTCTTCTACAATTCAAACTTTTGAGTTTTTCTTTCTAATAATGTAACTTTCTTATCATACCCCATTATTTGAGTAGTCATCTCTTATTTTTCTGAACAATTAAATGATTAATTATAAAATGAAATGCTTAAATCTCAGAAAATACTTCTTAAAACCTTGATATTATTGAGGTGACACCTGACAAGTTTGAGGGTTTTGAACACTTAAAAAGAACTGTGCCTGTGTTTAATTTTGATGCTCTATAGCCCTCTGGGTTGATGATATGGAGCTGTCAGAGCTCCTAAACAACCAGATGGACAATAGGATCCATGAATATTTTATAACCACAGACCATGATATAGAAATGTTTGCCCTGAAGCATATTTCCTCCACTACGACAACTACATTCATTTTGTATAAACGGGTGCCCTGCCTAACCCCTTAGGGCTTTTATTTTCTCTCATGCTGCAGCTGGAATAATAACAGATGGATTATTGCTCTGCTTGCCAGGCTATTAAAACATGATGATTGAGAAACAGATACAAAGAGAAAAGCAGTGGAAGACGGGGTGCTACAGCAGGCAACGAATGGATGGAGAAAGGAGGAATTAGTAAAATACAGCAGAAAGTGAAAGGGACTGTAATGAAGATTACCGGCTTGCAGAACTGCTGCCAACTACTCTCTTACCACCGACTAATCAGACAGTAGTTAGAAATTACAAAAAGCGAGAACAGACAACATGGTACTGAGCGCTCTGTGGCTCTCCCTCTCTTTCTGCAAAATGAACAAATTGCATGTTGACCAATCAAACCAAACTCCCTCCATCATCCAGATCGTATGTCTGCCACAGTCAGCAGTGCAGGGTTAGAGCCTGATTATGGATGTAATTATGAAGCAGGGACTCAGAGGGCTCATCCTGGATGCATCACGTGAACACTAAAATTTAAATATTATCTGCAGAGTCTACGATCAAACTCCTCTGCAGCTTTGAGCTAATAGATCTATTGTAATTCCTTACAAGGACGGGGGTAAACAGAGTTGTGATCAGAGTAAATTAGAGGGTGGTGTCCCTGTAATTTAATCTGTGAACTGCTTGCTGACTAAAATGAGCTAATAAAAAAAAGCCAGGACTCTAATTTATTGATTCTTAAACTGAGATGTGCTGCAGTTTATGTGCTGTTTAAGCTAGAAACAGCACATAAAATCTGCAGGCATTTGGGTCCTGTGCACAAAAATGCTGATACCAAGGAGTTAAACTGTCTTTGGATTTTTTTTCAAGGGGTTCTTCATGCATTTTTCTATACAGCCTGATTGTTCCATTAACAGTATTTCTAAAGCCAAATCTGTGCCATCAATCTTCTATGTATGCACTTTAATACTACTAGAAAACTGTGAATAATGCACAACTTGCCTAATGTCTTTATTTGAACCTTACAAAAAGCATACATTTAAACAGTTTAATACAGATAATAGGAATAAAAAAAAAACAATCAGTTGATCCCTAAAGAGCTGGTAACCAGCCATACATTATCAAACAACTGAAGAATCAACCATGTCCATGGTTCTTCTCAGGGTACATGCATTCTTAATGTTTCATATAAACATAAGTTTTAGATACTGTTGATTTGGCAGAATTTTGTTCTTTCTCTTTTGACACTAGTCTTTATTATGATAGTACACACTGTATGATAAGATGTTAATGTTTTATACGAGTGAAAAAGCAGTCAAATTAAACGTTTAAAGAACTTTAAAAATACAGGAGGACTGTATATTAGAATTGCTGTAAAGGAAAATTAACCTTGGTTCTTAGTTCATACAAGAAAAATATCAAGCCTTGGCCAAGCGTTAGGTATACAGTAATAGTGTGAAATCCTACAGTATGAATTAAAAAATAACCTTTTGTAAACTTGGATGGATGGAAAAACTGACCAACAAATGGATGGATGGATGGATGGATGGATGGATGGATGGATGGATGGATGGA